AGTGATTTTCATGGCTTTGGGAAGCCTCGTCGTTTAAGGAATGACTATGAATACGACCCCTTGATCAAAATGGGGTAGTCTCGTAGGAAGGCAGAAAAAACAGCAATTAAATCGGCCCGCCCCGGACATGGATGCAACTAATCGTGTCCAAAGGACATCCACGCTGCATCAATAAAATTGAAGGCGCTCTGATATTTCTCTCTCCCTAGAGCGGCGCAGACGTTGCACCATTACAAGTCTATCCTAGGGAATGAGTCCTCTATCGCAACACAGGGTGTCCAAGAGTTGGCCAACACACAGTGAAATATTTCTCCAAGATCTCCCCAAGAGGAAAATATTAAGAGGGCTTCCTCTTAATATTTTCTTCATTTGATTTCTCTTTAAGACAATGACGATTCCGGTTGTCTCGAGAAGAAATTCGACGAGGAAAATCTAAAAAGGACGTCTAATGCAGTGTTTGCAAGTTGGAAATACTGTTAATATACATATATTTGAAATCCATTAAAAATATCGGTTTCAGGTGAGGCAAGCTGCCTTGCTAAGAATAGCTCATTTTACATGCATTTAGATCGAGGAAAAACAGTGCTGCCAACGTTCATGAATCGCCAGTGATTCTTCGAGAATTCGGGGAAAGTTTTCGCCGTAAAATTTTCACAAAATACGCATTTTTTTCCCCAGGAACACTTCCCTTGGGAGCTACGGCTGCGGATTTTAAAAAAAAAATAATAATAATCATGATTTACATTATCTTTACTTGGACTTTTTTATGCTAAAAGCAACTACGTATATTCTACGCAAATCCTATACACTACACTACTCAGAAAGTTTTGTACTACAATATATGGACCGCGTTAAACAGAAAGGAACCAAGCCACATGAGCTATTGCCTAATTCGATTCGGCAATTTAATGTTTTACATGAAAACGATAGTACGGATTTTCGTGAAAATTTCAGTGAATTTTCTCCATAGTATGAAACAAAGCTCTTAAAATTTTCAAAGGAATCAGCACGAATTAAGCTCTCGTAAAAAATTAAATTGCTCACAATCAGTTAAATTTGGCAATAGCTGATGTGGCTTGGTTCCTTTCCATTAAACGAGGTCCATATAAAGCCTTAATCAGTATGGCCCAAGGAATCGAGCCATTCAGTATTGTCCGTAGAGTGTTGACCGCCTGATATCTTGTACGTTCAATCGCGGTTATTTTCATTAATAATAATATCACATCATGAATATTTAAATAACATTATTTTCTATGTATCGCTTAAATTTAGTTTGTTTGCCTTATCCTAACTATATTTTTACTCTATTCTACCGAAACTCACCTTGAAAGCACTTATAATTTCGAATTGTCACATTCTATTGGTGCGAAGTAAATTCAACTGGATCTTTTTTCATAGTGAAGTGTGGTTGATTCCGAGGTCCGTTACGGAACTGTGCTTGGAAAAGCTAGGAGCAGACGGGAGAACATTAAGAAAAGAACAATCCGTCGCGTCGGCATTGCAATCTCAATAGACGCGCGCGACGCGGCAGTTAGCGCCCATTCATCCCTGACTGCCTCTCGCGAGCGCAAGCGCCTCCAGCGCAGGTGATGGAGAGCCACGATAAGTTGATACTCCCCAAGTTTGGAAGCCCAACTTATTGAATGGAGTTTATTTTATGATGTTGTCAGCTTTAACATTGAATACAAGCTCTTGTCTCCCTCAAACTTTAAACTTTCAGCAATTTATTTCTTTGTCCGAATCTTCGCCAACTTCTCATTTTCTCAAGCTTGAGGGGGAGGATCCATTTCCGAAAATAATACCTCTTCTGTTAGCGTCACCCGTCAAGAAACTCCTGGCAATTAACGGTAATTAATGCAAATCCTCCAGAGTCGATTTTTTGTTGCTCACGCGGAAAAAAGTTCGGTTGACATGCGTTGAAAGCTCATGATTTCGTTCACAGCATCCAAACTTCCCGGTGATCGACTGCATGGAATGTAAGCATTCTCATACATACGTTTTCTCTTCACATTTTCACGTAACGCAAGATTCGCGCAACGAAAATGACTAGAATAAACTCCAAACTAAGTTATTAAACGTTTTTACATGCGTTTTAAACCTTCCGCTGATCAATAACCAGAAGTCTACGCAAGTCAAATGACGCATTAAACGCTACCGTAGTAGTCTTTGCAACATGAAGCAATGGAAACCTTTATTTCGGTGCCCCAGCTCAGCTATTGGACGTGGTCGTCACTTCGAACAACCCAAGGCGGGGAAGGAACATTCTTCGATTAAGGCTCCTGTCAAAAATGTTGTAAGACGCAATTTGATTCACGTAGATTTTTTTTCATCTCGTGAGCAGGGAATTCAAAATCCCCTTAGCCGATGTAATCTAAGAACGTTGATATCTTAGTTAGAAGTTGACTTTAGAAAATTTCTCCGTGGAAATCGTGTTCTAGATGATATTTTGAGTGGAAAACTGGGATCAGAATGCTTAATGCGCACCATGTCTTTGGCCCATTAGACTCCGCATGAAGAAACTCATTCTTCTGTCTCATTTAAGAAACAACGTACGTGTTATTACCTTGCCTAGATAGGTGCTTTTGTATGTGAACAATATATATTAGTTTTTTGTTGCAAAATATAGTTCAATTGGGCTTTATTATGCATAAAGGGTAAGCACTTTTTATTACTAGAAATTGAGGGCTGGATTAGCCATTAAGACGCTATAGCCTATTATACTGCAACATGCCGAGGGGCTCAAAAATATTGAAGATCTTAAACCGTAAAAGCTTACTCATTATAAATCCCTGTGTGGAGGATCGTGTCTCGCATACCCGTTCCATTATATCACTGAAAAAGAAGTTCGATAGATTCGAACTAGTTAAGATAAAATGGGTCCAGGTTTTGTTCGGTACACACCAGGGCCGGATTCACCTACTTGCCGCCCATGGGCCGCCTATATTATGCCACCCCCTTCTCATTCGTTTTGAAACTCGATAAAAACCATCAAATGAACGTGTCAGCGGGGGACGGGTGCATAAAACGCATTTACTCGTGTTGAACACATTTTTCGGGGAAGCCCTGTCAACACTACTAGCAAAAGTTCACGAAACTTTGCGCGAAAATTAAGCTCCGTAAACCTATCTCTGTGTGGACAAGGCCTTCCATTCATAAGAAATCAACGAAAAAATGATGAAAGAATTAACATAATTGTGGTTCAATGATTCTAACTTCCGCCGTCGCGCCGCGCAGACCGCACCGTGTTGGACGCAATGCGTGAAGTATTCACGCAGTCTTGTAGGCGCTATGCGTTTCGCGCTGACCGCACTGTGTTTGGCGTAATGCGTGAAGTATTCTTGCATTCTTGTTGACGCTATCCGTTTCACGCTGACCGCGATGACCGCACTGTGTTTGATGCAATGCGTGAAGTATTCGTGCAGTCTTGTAGGCGCTAATATCTGTTACATGCCGATCGCCGCGCCGAGGGCTTCTCTTTTTCATCTCAAGTCCTCGTTATCATTTCTCTGTAAGTCGCGCCGTTCCAGGCCAAATTGCGTGTTTGGTCTCTCTCTTAACTCGACTTATTGAAGGTGCTATCTCTTCTATCACTAATAATAAGAGACGACAAAATTAGAAATTACTATACTCTCAGGGAATGAGAGATTTTGTCGCCTTTTCTCGTTTCTAATTTTGCTTTTATAAATCGGATTTTTTTTTATACCTACACTTTTAAAAATTGCAAATTTTTGCCGCCCCTTAGATTTGCCGCCATGGGCCGCGGCCCATGTGGCCACCCCCTTAATCCGGCCCTGGTACACACAACCGAATTATTCGGCCTGTTCAACCAAACTGTTCGGTTCGCTGAACCGAACTATAAGAACTTGTTATCGTTCGGTCGCACGAACCGAACAGTTTGGCTGAATAGACCTAATTATTCGGTTGTGTGTACCGAACAAAACCCGGGCCCATATCATCCTAACTGGTTCGGGTCTACTGAACTTTGTTTTTTTCAGTGGCGATAGCACCTGCTTTCAGAGGTGCTAAATAAAGTTCAGCCTAAGAACGCTCAATATATAATTTCGGCAATTCACATATTTGGGCGCCCTAGAGCTTTTCGGTTGTGACGAATGTTTTATGAATAAGCCAGAAACAGCACCTCCTTATTGCATAAAACGAGAAAAAACGGTAAGAAATGGCCGAATCTGTATGTAAGAAGGTGGAGAAATGATGATGGGTCCACACCATTTCGCGAGGAAAACAAAGCCAAGAAGTTCCAAAAATTCTACATACTGGTACTGTTTACTACTTTACATTACTAGTTTTAGTACTGGTACTTATCAGAGCTCAAAAATCGTTGACTCTAATTAAAATTTTCGGAACTTCTTGCCTAAGTTTTCCCCGCGAAATGGTGTGAACCCAGCATCATTTCACCACCTTGTTACTTATTGCAGAATAGAATAACTTGATGGGAAGAGTACAGGCATGTCCAAAAAAGGTGCTCTTGGGGCCCAATAGGGCAGTCAACTGGCTGCCCTCTTCGGACATGATAAGCACCGGGTAAATGTCACTGCCAATCATCAGATTCCAATATCAAATTAAGATGGCCAAGAATGTGCATAAGTGAGTGTTCTTCCGCAAAAATGGATAAAATTATGCAAAATTAAGTCAAATGCGTGATTTTAAACGGAGGATCGTAGAACTTTTAATAATAAATCATTGTGGATAATTTGAGTTCGGAGGTCAGCTGCTTCTTTGAGTCCAAGAAGCCTCATGACCTAATAACCTCGGAAATGAAGGACATGGTCGTACTGTCCCCACATCGGTATTCGATTGGAAAATAGAGCGCAATCGACTATGGAACTTGATATCTTGTACAAATTTCTGGATGGTGATGAGGACGCGAAAGGGCGCGGCAGGGAAAAGCGTATGAGCGCTCGGATATTGTTGTCTGCTTTAGTAGCTGTTGTTAGTGGGAGGTGATTAACGTGCTGTAATGGGCAATGAGCAATGCAACTTACAGTTTGATGAGGGTAGGAGGGAGGCCGACGGGAACGGCGGGAAGCCCGAGGGCGCGGCAGGTGAGCTCCTTCGGCGTGTCCGTGTTGTCCACATGGCAGTCCGCGGGGTAGGTGTGGGGCNGGGGGCGGGGGCGGCGGCGGCGGCACCGCCACGCTCACCCTTGTCCCGCCACCACCGCCGCCCACGCCCGAACCACGGCCGTAGCTCCCCATCACCAAGGCCAGAAATAGCAGGACTATCATAATAGTTCCGCCCGCATATCTGAAACAAACATACCATTCCTCTTTAGCATCTATCACATTATAGTTCAAAACTTCAATCAAATGCACCGCTCGTATAAATATCAAACAGATTTAAGTGCACGTGAGAAATATGGGGCGTGCTCGTCAGTTCTCTGCCCGTAAGAGTGAATGAGAATGATAAAGCGCCGGTGACGTCAACGGAGATGGATGCCGTCGTCGCGGCTCCTCTAGTGCGCTTTATCTCATGAGCCCTGTCCACAAGGCTCTCGTCCCATGCCCGCGGCTCATATATCCCGCATTCAGTTGGCACAAAGTGCTCTTTGCTCATTTAAAATCCCGCTTTTCCAATTCTTCAAAAGGAATCACGCCCACTGACCATATTGTTTCTTATCCAGATTTCTAGAGCACACCCCAGGTTTCTCACCTGCGCATAGTTCTGTTTGATAGAAATACGTCCAAATAATCGCTCCATGGGCAACTTACACAACATTCCCAGGAGGGTTCCCCCTAGGGTGCGTCAAAAAAAAGTCCAAAGAAATGTTACTCTGCTCAGGTGGCAATCGTTACGACATGGAAAAGAACAAAACCAAAATCTAGGTCAATATCATTCATTTTTTTCCGGCGCATGAGGCTATTTCAATGATGAAATGACGATTTTCACGTTGTAACCTCGATTTTGTACAACAAACCTGCTGGGACACTGAAACTGTGTAGTCACGTAAATCATGCAAAATAATTAACAACGTGGACAGTATATAAATGTTTCTCTGACATCATTAGCAATCATCAAAAATACAAACCAAGATAATCTGAGAAATTTGCCGGAGCATTGGGCACTGAAAAGGGCATTTTCAGATTTTTTGGGTTTGAAAAGCAGGGCCGTCATTTTGGGGGATGATAATTTGATTATCCGAATCACTTCAAAGGAAACACAGGGACTGTGCCCTCATTTAGTAACGTAATTAGAACTGCCGCGCGCCACGCCGCATCCGTCACTCGCCGCTCAAAGACCACCATCGTTGTTTAGGTCTTTCTACAGGGATTTCACAGGACCTTTTCTCGTTGAGAACCCCAGTTTCAGCACGACCCATATCGGTGGTGTATAATTAAATCACGCTCGATTTTGAATGGGTGATTTTGACTTCTGTGCGATTTGTCCTCTTATCTGCCTTAACGCTGCTTTATGTGCAGTAAAAACGCTCTCAATTTATGGCTTTTGAAGTTATGCGTGACACTTCTGCGAGGAAAATCGGTTTGCGTGATCAAGAGAAGGGCCCTTAGTTGCCAAATTGTCTAGCTTTCCCGATGACGGCAGAGGTTAAATGAAATCATTACACCTCATACACGTTGCCAGTTCGTCCCCATGTTTTTATACCAAAAATGAAGAATTCCCGCACCTCTATTTTCATTATCTCATCATGAGCAAGTTGCTACTTTTGAAATTTTTCGTGAGTGTACCTCATGACTTGGATTGCTCAAGAGGATACAAGTTCGTGTAAACTTTTGCCACAAAATGTGACACGATAGCATAATAAGCTAAATAAAATTAATCTTCCAGAGGATAAATCAATATCAAGATGTAATATAGAAACGGCACAAGGACTCTATCACTTATTATATGTACTACACTGCTGTGCAAGCAAAAAGAGCTGCAAGTGTAAAAATTAAGTTTTGAGAAAATGAGCCAAGAAGCGACGCTGCAAATTTTCAATGATGAGAGAAGCCTCCATTATTTGTCACGTTGGCTCGAATCATCTTAAAAAGACTCCGACATGGTTCGGATATTTAAGAATCGACAAATTTAATTTTCAACCATACAAAAGGGTCCGGGTCCTCCTCAAATGTAAGTTAGGCTTGTATTGGGGAATACAATCGTAAGTACCATCTTCTGCATGCTTTTATAGTTGAGTTTTGTACACACCACGAACAAACTCTAGGGTTAGAAATTGGCAGGAAAGGGCGTCATTAATCACAAGCACTGCCCTAATTGGCTCTCTGGTAAAATAATGCTCCTTAAGGCTGTTTTGTTCGGAGCAACGTCCGTTCTTTAGCCCTTACGGCTTTCTCATGAGTCTCATTTTCATGTATGCAAAGAAGACGAATTTTGCTGTTTCAGTTGCATGAGTATAACTTGATCTAAAAGAGATTAGACAAATTGAAAGTAAGTAACTCAAACTTTTGAAAGTAACGGGATTCCGAAAATTTGAAGACGACAGCTCTCTTGGCCATCGCGGCAGAAGAGACTCGATCATTTATGTAGTAGAGCGACCCATTTGACGATGGCAATTTGGCAATATTGTTTGGCGTTTAGGGATGCGGGTGTGGAAGGATGCATAGAGGAAAGTTAATTATTACGCCCTCTTATTTATGATAGTTAGCAAGTTGTTTGACTCTGCCATTCGTTCATAATTCAGCGGCAAAGCTGCAATACATCACAACTCCTGGAAACAATCCGCCGTCGACTTGGACTGCGCGACGCGACCAAGCTTCTCATCCGCGCGCACCCGTCCCCGTGCTCTTCTCTTTAAGCGCCAACTACATCCGACCAAAGCCCCTCAATCAGTATTAGGGTGGTTTCACGATAACTGGAATAGTTTTGTCGCCGTAACGGACAACACATTTTTCGGTCATATTTTTAGTAGTATTGATAATAACTAGAATTTGTTCCCATTCATCTTCAAAGGGTTACGTGTTATAACGCTTTCTAATGATTTATTCCTCTACATCTCAATTGATATTATGTATATTCCGAAAGTGTGCTGTCCGTTACACGGTAAAAAGTCAGCGTAACAGACAGCACATTTTCGGCCATTTATATATTAAAATTGAAAAGTAGAGCGATAAATCGTTGAAAAGCGTTATAACACGTAAGCCTGTGTAGATTACTGCAAGAAAATTCGTGTGATTATCATTACTACTAAAAACATGACTGAAAAATGTAGTGTCCGTTACGGCGACAAAACTATTCTAATTATCGTGAAACCACCCATTAACATCTCAATTATTGCTGAGGCGCTACGCTCCGTCCGAGAAAGACACTTCTCAGTTGAAGTGCTAGAGGAGAATCTAATGGGTGACTTCTTCCAGAATCTCCCTTATCCAATCTTGTACAACGATGAAAAATCAAAGGTAAAAAATATCTTTGAAATGCATGCATTCAAATTTCTTTAACTAAACGCCGCAAATGAGGCGTCCGCGTCCCCTCCCTCCACCAACAGCTTCGATTGGACTACATTTTTCAATTAGGAACTACAATTTCTAGCTCATTCCTAAATAACATTTCCGTGAATAAGGAAACTAATGGTGCATGCGTTGTTTTTAAACAGAGCCGTCAATTTTAGTTCCTAATATTGAAAAATGTGCTCTACTTACCTAGGACCTTCCTTCGCTGATTCTTACAGACAGAAGTCGCTGTAGCAACCGAAAGGTTCTGAAGGTTTAACGTAGAATTATCGTTTACTTGAAGATGGAGTCCAGATTTTTTAGTTTTTCTATTAAAAAATGGGATGCACAATTCCAACGATGACACTGCAAAATCGCGGAAATAGGTACATCGGTTTGCAACGCACCATTACTCATGGTCAGGTACTTTTTTTTCCCTCTCTTTACAGGATGGAAAAATCCAAAAGGCCATTCTATGAAACTATTCCTAATGTTCATCTTCTTTGTGATTAAATCTCTGTGGAAATTTGAAGTTTCAGTCTGTCAAATTTTACAAACTTGTAAATACCCCAAAAAGTCATTTTTCCATTAAAAAAAAAGTCTGATCAAATCCTCGTTTATCTTCTGTATCGCTCTTGAAATATATTACAATTTGTAAGAAACCATTGGTTTAAAAGAAACAAGCATTTCTATGCGTTTTCTTGGATATGCAGTGCGAATCATGCCTCCACCATAGCTATCCTTGGCTTCTCCGATGCTTGGCCTTTTCCGATTCATTGACATTATGGCGCTTTTTCGTCTCATGACTTTTTTAGCTTCTTTTCAAAGGTAATTTTTTCCGTCAGTATTTTACTTGTTCTAAGTCTAATTATGAATTTAAAAAAGCTGAGCTATGGCTCAGTTTTCAGTTGGTTCCGGAGAACCGGCGACTTTAAAGGTAACTGCACCCCGAGCGCTCCGACACGTTTCTTAAATGCGGCCATTCGGAACATATAGTATCAACGCAGAACCGCAAATTGGCGGTCTTGCGTCAGAACGCAGAGTCGTCGTTATGCAATTTTGCGTTTCTGAGTTTCTTGAGGCAAATACAATAAAAATGAAGGATTGATGTAATCAAATGTAGAGTTTATAAAAAACACCAAATAAAAAGTCAAATGCTGGACTGAACAAAGAAAATGAGAGAAGAGGAACAAACCGGGGACACCCTTTTTTTATTTACTTTTTAAAAATAATTAGTTTTATTAGTCATGAGATCACGATTTATTATCGTTCAGACACTCATGCACTGATATAGCTGCAATTCACTGGTTTTTTGCTTCCTTTTCCTTTCTTCACAAGGGTATTTTAACCATATTGCAGGACTCAATTCCCTCATTAAATCACCAACATTTTAATGTACAGACCATTATCTTGAATAGATCTCCAAAGATAGATAGATAGTGCATAGATGATGAAAATGGAGAAATTATCATACTTGATAGGCCACTTGCAAAAAATTGGTGACAAAGTCTGTTGTGCGCAACATGAAGAAAAGAAAGCATTATCTAAAAGCTTAGGGCGATTCGAAAAGCTTTAAAGGGGCCACATTTCGAAAAGAGCACGGTTTATCTGATGACCATTTGACGACGACATTATCAATTCTTTGTATCAGAGGCTTGTCCCGTTAATCCTCATTTTTATTGTTGGCGCGGGATGGCATGAACATAGCGGCTTCTCGTTATTATATCCCCTGTCGCAGTGAAGCCAGATGTCGGCTCCGTAAAATTTGGAGTTACGACTGAAACAACAGCCTGTTAAAAAATGCTTTTTTGTGCCCTTTCTAAATGAACTTAGGGTTTTCGTTCGAATATAGCCTTG